GACGCTCACTGTTCATGCTGCCACGGTGGCGAGATATTAACTAACTCGCCTGGTATACAGGAGGTCGTGGGTTCGATCTCGACCGTGACGCCTGCAGTATTATTTGGAGTTTGCGTGTCTCTCTCCCGGTGATCGCATGGACTTTTCTCCGGGTCCTTCGGGTTTTCCCACCACATTGAGAATCAACGTCACACGTTTAGAGATAAGCCACTTCGTTGTGGTCAGGTCGCTTCTGATAAAGAGCTCTATGGCTCAGTGGGCCTTGGTGACATCAATTCAGAAGAAATCAATGGTCCTTTCATATCAATTGGTGTAGGTTTACTGTCAGTGGTGTACGAGCGTGGTTGGCTTGGGCCCTGGTGCAAGGAATGAAATGGGGCCCTTCCAGCCCCCATAGTCCCTGGTGCCAAGTTGTGCCACCCACAACAGTCACATCGTCACTTTAAGATGTTTTCTTGTTCATGTTTTTGTTTGTTGCGGTTGCACCCGATTCAAGAGCCAAATGGCTCACAGGGCGATACCAAATAAATGAACTTGAACTTGAGACACATGCTGCTTACATGCCGGCCTGCGGCTGGGCCTCTTGCAGGATGGAGCATTCATGGTGCGGAGGAGCTCCGGGCATCAGCAGAACCAGCCGTACACGCTGGTGGTGTACTTCAAAAGGACCGTGTTCAACATCCAGATCCGCTACGTGGAGGCCGAGCAGAAGTTCGCCCTCGGCATGGAGAAGGCGGGCGAGGAGGTAACGCGGCGTTTGTGTCTCATGGACACGTAACGACCTGGTGCTTCGTTGTGGCCGCTGTGCGTGTCGTGGGTGTCCAGGCTCCAGACATGTTTTTAAAAATGAAACTCAACTATCAACTGAGAGTAGGTTTTCCCCTTTTTTCTGGCAACAAAACAGTTGTGTTAAGATGTTAAAACCCCTATCACTACTCCAACCCCCATCACTACCCCAGCCCCTATCACTACCCCAACCCCTATCACTACCCCAGCCCCTCCTTCACCTCTCCCACCTGTTCTCCTGTTACCATCACCACACCACCACTTTTAATGAGCCCAATCTTAATTTCAATGAAATGTACAATATTACAAATGTTGTAAAGCGCCTTGGAATAAGGCACTGTGTACGTCTACACAACATGAGGATGCAAAAACGCGTTGCTTTTCTAAACGTACCGCACTTTAAAAGTTTTTCTTACTCCTTCCTTTCATCCCTTCCCTAGAAATTCAACAGTGTGCCGGAGATGATCGAGCACTACGAGCTGATGCCGCTCACGCTCATCGGGAACCAGCAGGCCGTGCGAGGGAGCACCCGGCTCCTCTACCCGATATCCTCGTGACCACCACCAGATCCCAAGCTCAAGAGCCACAGCACCGCTGCACCATCGCCACCACAGTGGTCATCCATCCGCACCGGCGGAGTCTAGTTGGGGGGGGGGGCAGAGGTTCGCTTTGTCCCTCACATTAGGAATCGCAGGTGCATATCATTATTTTTTTCTTAATTGTAAACTATTAAAAATAAATTAATAACGGTGTCCAGTTTTTTTTTAGGGGGGGAGGGGGGGGGGACAATGCCCAAACCTCGCCCAGGTCGATGATGGGTGATGATAATGGGTGGTGATGGTTTTGGGTGGCGATGGTTGATGATGGGAAATGATGATGATGATGCACATTGCCAACGAACATCGCATTGGCCAGACCAGGGGTCGGCAAAAACCTGCGGCTCTGGAGCTGCACGCGGATCTTTCTGGATCGCTTGGTGACGTGGTCTATTGAGGACCGCTTGGTGACGTGGTCTATTGAGGACCACCACCGTCTCATACTCACCACGGTGCATTGCGGCTCTTGAAATATCTCGTTTTTTTTTACCGAATTCGAAAAAAATGTCCCTTCTTGTTATTTAGGTTGCCGACCCCCTGGGTTCGACCTTGGCTCAGTTTCCCCAAAATTGGACGAAGGTAAACATTGGCCAACAAACGAATTGGATCGTTGAAATGTTTCCTTGTGACTTCTTCTTGCATCTGGCATTGTACTCACGAGGTCACGTCCAGCTCTCGCCGCCTCGTGCGGAAGCCGAACCGATGTCTCCAACGCCCCCACTGAATTTCCGGGGCTCGCGCAATGGCTCACGAGAAGGTTAACACGAGGACATGCAACGGTGTTAAAACCTCAAACGCGTTTTCACGTTTTCTTTCAATGAGCGTGTCACATTTCATTTAACGTTTAAAAAATGTGCTATCATTTTACTTTGCGGTGGTTGAGCCAAGTAATTTCGTCGGGAGCAGTGGATCGGGTCTCGCCGTGATTGCTACCTCTTTCATATTTGTGATTCGGGCGTTGAGTCGTCGTTTTTGTGTCCCACGGGTCTGTTCCGGGTGCTTCGTCCAGGAAAGTTGTTCAGTGTTGCGTCGGAGGATCCTCATTCCAGGACCCATCTGAAAGCGCGTGGGGAGGGCCGCTTACGGTCGCTTGAGTTGTTGTTCTGCGATGATCGCCGATTGATGTCGAGTCGGCGGGTTGATGGCGCCATTCGTGATTTCGCACTGAACGGAGCCTGAAGGCCACCATCTCCCCACCGCCCGGAGTCGTGTTTGCTCATCCAAGGTAGAGCAATTTCAATGTGCCATATTGGCACCACAAGCACAGCATGTCTTCGTGGTGACGATGCAAACCCTGTCACGTAACTCTCTTCTTCGTGTGGTTGGGGTGAAATGTTACAAAGGCACGCTGTATATCGAAACAAAGAACATTGCCATGTGAAGGAAAAGTTCACGAATGTATAATTTTCATGAAGCTGTAATTAGCTCCTTTAGTTAAATATTTTTTTTACTAAACTATTTTACAACCAAGTATTTCCTGAACTTATTTATCCTCTTCAGTAATGTAGCTACGTGTAAGATGAGCGTAACTGCGACATGAGCAAAAACTGTTAATATTCTTGGTTCTTTCGGTAAAGTCGCAACCCTGTTCTTCACCTGAGGACAGCTGCTTGCGTTGTGGCCGAAACGTCGTGAGAATTTGTTTTGTTTTATTTTATTATTTCTCTTATACGTGACTTTACCGAAAGAACCAAGAATATGAATCCATGCAGTCACGAAAAGCTTTAAATAAAAATATTAACTTTGTGGTGGTGTCAGTATTCTGGACAATGCAGGTGACATTACTGGCCAGTTGCATTGCAGTATTGCAATTCAGATCATACCACTCAAGCTTTGCTTTCAAGAGTACATTGTTAGAATGTTAGTCGCTATCATTGTTTTATTATAATGTTTGTTTACCTTGGAAAGCCACATCGAGTCTCAATTATTTTCGAGGTGGCTGCTGCCAGGTCGTCGCAGTGAGGGGCAATGCTGCCAGGTGGAATTCTCGTTTAATTTGCAGGTAATTTTTTCAGCATTGGGATGTTTGTATGTTTTTTCTAAACCTATGGAAGTAAACCGGAGAACCCGGTGAGAAAGCCTGGAGAAAACCCACGCAGAACAGGGGGAGAACATAGACACTCCACAAGGCGTCCGAGTTGGGAGTCGAACCCAGGGAGTTTCTTCCTCTGATGCATCATTGTCACCACTGCGTCATCATCCTGCCGCTCTTTCGTCGAGTTTGAGCTTTCGTTGAATTCCAGCGTTGAGTAAACGTATCATTCATAAGAGGTTTTTTTTGGGTTAGATCGTTAAGCCCGCCACCACCCGACACAGCCAACTAGTAAGGGTTGTTACGTAAACAGAACGTGGCCAATTCGTCACTGGTACAGCACACCGGTGTGTTGGAGAGTAACGACACATTTGTATTTACGCGATCTAATCCAAGAAACCTGTATTATGGATATTGGCGGCGAAAGCCTACGTGTTACCAAACGTATCTTTGTGGGAGTTGAGGTTTTTTAGTGTAATAAAAATGGAGCGTTCATTTACGGGTTGGGAAAATAAACTCGTTAAGTAATATTTAATTTCAGCTGTTTTACCCTGATAATGAATTCATTGTGGACTAAAATGTATAAACGGCATATTTAACTACGTCGTAATCATTTTGTAGGTGGTGCATGCATAAATTGTGGACATGAGTGTGTGTTGTAGTTAAGCAAAGGTAACTAATTGTCACAATCACCCATTGCATATTAGAACGTAAATGTACATTCCTATTTCCCAGCATCTGTGAAAATGATCTTTTGCTTACGAGTTGTAACCGTGTATAACCAACAATTTTCGAAAATGGATTTACCAGTTTTGAACTTTTAAGTTCCTTTCACCTGCAAGTTCTGCACGATTGATCCAGTCAAATCTTTAAATTACGACAAAAACCCGTCACCGTTTCATAGGGCAGGCTGGAAGACCACAGGTTTCAAATGACAAGTGTGTAAAAAAACAGCCTCTGCAATGTGAAAGAGAAAACCATCAACAGTTCCCTTACGAAATGCACTGCGGTCTTCGTATTGGGTAATTTTTTACCTACGTGACTTTACCGAAAAAACTAAGAGTATTCGTATGAGGTCACCATAAACCAACAGTGACATGTGGACTGGTTTCGTTCCCATTGGGACTCATCAGCAGTTAACGATGTTCACTGCTGCAAAGTCTGCCTCTGGAAACAATAGCGTGGAGTTCCCACTTCATCACTCTGGGGACCATGAGCTTAGTTTAAGGGCCTGCACTATTATTATGCATTTATCTCGCCAAGTATCCGTGAAAGATGCATGTATTTTGCTCCATATCGTCATGGAAGTGTCCAACGTTCTTATTCTGTGATTAAAAAATGCTTTATTTATTGTGTTAAGCATTGCTATTTTCCAAATACATACATTTTCAAATGGTCAATAGTGCATTTACATATTAACAAATATTTTGCTGAAGTGTTTGTCAATTATGAGTTCAGTTTCATCAACGACTCGTGTATAGAATAGTACTGAAGCCACAGACATGTGAAATGTGCATATGTACATTTGCAACGACATCCGTGTTTAAATAAAGGTTATAAATTACCAAACATTGCCTTTTTCTAGAAGAAATTATTTTCGTGCTACAGCAGTTTCACCCACGTGGTCTGCTTTCCAGCAGTCTTAAACAGAACACTGGACCAGCTTTGCCACAGCGAGACATCTTCCAATCCAGAAGCATTTACAAACCCTGATGAGGCCCAGACAATCTAAACTCGACAAATTTGCTTTCTTAAACAAATGGCGCTGGATAATATTAGCCTTGGACCAGACTGTTGTAAAATAACAGTGTGAACAGATGGAAGTCGACTTGTTTATTTACCCATAATGCTTAACAATACAAGGTATTTAATTAGATTTGTGCCAAACATGCAGTACTCCTGCCAATAACATCCGATAATCTGGCAGCGTTTCATGAGCCTGACTGCTTATGAGACCCAGACATGTGACTCTTTTGCCTTCTAAATACATTATTTTAAACCAGTCTGAAAGCCCCTGAGGCTAGAGGACATATTTGGGTTTTGTGTTGTGAGATGGATTCAAAGTACACAGCGTGAACATACGATTTTAGTTTGACAGTTTACTGGGTTCATTACTGGGAAGAATTTGGGTGGGAAGATAGGCAACTGAACTTTTTCACTGAAAAAATATAATTTGGGGTTTGAGATCCTAACAGCTCAACTAAGTACACATTAACTATAAGCCAGCTGATCAGACACTACATACAATCTAATTTACATTAAACATCATTAAATTAGTTTTGCCCATTTCGTGGACTGGTTGATGAGAGCCACGGACACATTTTTTCAATATGACAATTATAAAACATCGCCACAGTAAAAAAAAATCCAAACACGCTTAAAAATATTGGTTCTTAAACGTGACTTTGTAAATGTTTACAGAGGGAAAAAAAACACAACCGAATAAAACCAAATATAGACTATCTCTGAAAAAAGCACGACAACATGAGATGCTTCGTTCATAATGACGTCTCTCAAAGACAACCGAACACTTGCGATGAAAACAAGCTCTTGACAGGCAGAAAAAAGTTGCGAAGCTTCGCCTGCACTACTGCGGATATACAGCCTCCTCCGTTGTGGCCACGTCAGTGTCTGCTGCTGCTGCCGCCGCCTCGGCTTCCATCGCCGGTGGAGCGTGCGGATCCTGGGAGTCGGTGTCCATAGGAGGGAGCGGAGGAGGCGGGGGAGCCGCTCCTGCCGCCGCTCCTGCCGCCACAACCTCCCCCTCCTCGTTCACGCCAAGATACTCGTGCACCACGTTTTCGATCTGCGGCCGAAAGAACGTGCTGATCTTTGGGTTGACCACTTGATGGACGATGCGGTTCACGGCAGACTCCAACATGCCCGACCTGAAAAGCCACAAGCGTTCAATATATGAGGAGGTATATATACACACACCTAAGTCTACACAATGAGAACTATTCACCAGATTTCAAAAATTGTTTAAGACAAAATACACTTTTGGGTCAGGAGAGATGTGCGTGACCATGATGAAGATGGGAAAAACACTGTACAGATTTCAATTACAATACAAATGCCCAGAAGTTGTTTAGGATAAATACTGTGAGCAGATAATGTTTTTTTTTTCAAATTCATTTGGTGGAATATGTTCTCCCACTCCCAGTTTGATGTATTTTTTTTGTCTTTCAGTTTAGTTTGGGGGTTCATTTTTTATCATATTTTTTTTGTTAAACGTCCATATATATAGTGTTCTATTTTACATTGATCATTTTAATGACCACAATTTCAACAGCTTTTTGTGGAACGTGCAAGTCAGAAGTATTCTTTGCTGCAGGAGCGATGATTTCTCAATGCAGATACTGCACGAAAAGCTGTGTGGTGCCAGACCGGCTTCTAAAACCGAGCCGGCTCCTACATCCAGAGGACGTGAACACAGACAAACAACACACAATCGTGTTCTTGGTTCTTTCGGTAAAGTCATGTAGATAGAAAATAAAAATAAATTGAAAAAAATAAAAGCAAAAAAACCACGACGTTTCCATCGCAACACAAGCAGTCGAAACGTCGTGGGCTTTTTGCTTTTATTTTCAATTTATTTTTAACTGTATTTTATTTTTATGTTTTACCTACGTGACTTTCCCGAAAGAACCAAGAATATGAATTCCTGCAGTCACGAAAGTTAAGTAAAGAAAAACACAATCGTGCGTTAACATTTTGTCAAGGTGTAGTTTGATGGTCACCGCTTCTACAGTACCGCATACGCATCAGTCAATGAATTTCGGTAAACTGGAGATTATCAGCTGCGTTTGCTCTTCGAGCTGGGATACATTTACCTCCGAACAAAATAATTAAGCGGGTCTCAAGGCAAGGAGCTCGATAAGAAGTCGTCGTACACTGCAGACTGTGCCACTTGTCCTGCACGTGGCATTAGCCGAGGTGCCACCACTACCGTCGCACACCATGCATGACCAAAGTGTTCCTCGAGGGGTATCTGTCAAAGATGAATTCATTACGGGACGAGGGTGACTGAGCAACACAAAGCGAAGTGACGCTCTACTTATATTTTTAGTTTAACACGTAGTCGGCTTTCTCAACCAATATCATCCATAATAGTTGTTTTGGGGGTAAGATGGCATAATTATGTGTCGTTAAACCCGCCACCACCCGACACAGCCAATTAGAAAGGTTTGTCACGTAAACAGAACATGCAAAACAAACGTATATTATGGTTTTATGTTTATATAATAACGTGCACACACAGTCGTGAATGTGACAGTGGTTCAAGCAACTGGAGATGCAGCGCCGTCCAGCAAGGTCGGAGAGAAACTCAAGTTCATTCATTAGGTATAGCCCTCTGAGCCATTCGGCTCTTGAATCGGGTGGAACCGCAACAAACAAAAAACAAAAAGATTAACAAGAAAACATCTTAAAGTGAATAATGTGACTAAATGCAAACCGAAAATACAAGAAAAGACAGCAAAACATTGCAGAAAAAACACCGTACACCAACGCTGTGTGCAAAAATCCCAGTGGGATGCAAGTCAAACAACAACAACCACAAGACAACTTAGATTAAGGCCATCAGTCTTACTCCGTACAACAACAAACAAACATGGCCAAACCAAGAAACTTTAAGAAATCACCAAACTCACTGCAGGATTGTCTGTCGGAGTCCGTTTCTCATTTGATTTTTGTTGATCTCCGGAGTCCAATTCTGGTGACCCAAGTGATTGGACACGAACGAATCCATTCTCTCGCGGAGGTTCTGGTAAGCAGGCTGCAAAACAGAACAAGGCGTGAGTGTGGCAGTCCGACACAACACGGAGTTTCTATAAACAGATCATGCACACAGCACAAGACAAAGAACCCCCGTATAACCTGCACAGACTGTTGGGGCAAGTGCTCCTATGAAGGCCGGCACGGCACACGAGGGGTTGGGTGGCCAGCACCACGCCCGGCCGCCTTTGTCTCCCTAGTGGCGATGTTTACACACCGCACCAGGTACTCATTTGAGGCTTAGTCGACCTAGGGGACGACCCGTAGACCACGGAGCATGACAGGCGAGGTCACGTCACCTCAACGTGGTGGTGGACGAAGCCGCGAGTTCTCTGACAAGACTCAGGGGTCGAGCTTGAGCCGGGGTGGACTCGAGTGAGTGAGTCAGTCGGGGTCTCTCTGGCTCTGGGTGAGTCTCTCTGGGTGAGTCTCTCTGGGTGAGTGGCTCTGGGTGAGTGGCTCTGGGTGAGTGGCTCTGGGTGAGTCTCTCAGGGTGAGTGGCTCTGGGTGAGTCTCTCTGGGTTAGTGGCTCTGGGTGAGTGGCTCTGGATGAGTCTCTCTGGGTGAGTCTCTCTGGGTGAGTGGCTCTGGGTGAGTGGCTCTGGGTGAGTGGCTCTGGGTGAGTGGCTCTGGGTGAGTGGCTCTGGGTGAGTCTCTCTGGGTGAGTCTCTCTGGGTGAGTCTCTCTGGGTGAGTGGCTCTGGCTCCGTGTGCTCTGCTTGTTCCATGCCTGTGCCCTTAGCGTCTCCATGTAGCTCTGCCTTCTGCTGTCTCCCCGTGTCCCTCTCTGTCTCCCCTCTCTGCTCGTGTCTCCCCGTGTTCCCCCTCTACCCGTGTCTCTGTCCCCATGTCTCCCCTTCTCTCCCCGTGTCTCTCTCTCTGCCAGTGTCTCACCCCCCGTGTCTCCCCCTCTCTGCCCGTGTCTCCCAGCGTCCCACTCCCCGTGTCTCTGTCCCCGTGTTTCTCTCCCCGTGTCTCTCCCCCCGTGTCCCCGTGTCTCCCCACTCGCACCCTGGTGTCGAAGTCCGCCAGGCAGTCTCTGCGGAATTGGTCGAAGAGGCCCTGAGACTTGAGGTGGTCAACGATGGCGGCGATCAGCTCCGGGTTGCCGGGCGGGAGGTCCTTGGCCATGGCGCCGCGTCTCCTCCACCACCACCACCTCGTCACCACCACCACCTCCTCGTCACCACCACCACCACCTCCTCGTCGTCATCCGCTCTTCTTCTTCCTCGATGAGACGCAAACTCGTGAAGCCTTCTTCCTCTATCCCAACTCGCGAGCGGGCGCCATTGGACTCGGGCGATTCGACTCCTGAACAATCGAGCGTCGTCGATTCCGTTTGTTGGAATCGATTCCTCCCGCGTTCGACCCGTCGCTCGCTGGCGGGGCGCGCGTGGAGCTCGCCGCTCGATTCCTCTTCCCGCGTCACAGGAATCGCGATTCTGTACTGGATCGATTTGTTGTATACAGTTAGTATCGATCCGTTACTCTAAAGTCCGCCTCCTTAGTATTGTTGTTTGTGATCACATCATCTATATTGTTTATATACATAGCGTGTGTGTGTGATCACATCATCTATATTGTGTATATACATAGCGTGTGTGTGTGATCACATCATCCATATTGTGTATATACAGCGTGTGTGGGTGTGATCACCACATAATCTACATTTTTTCTTGGTTCTTTCGGTAAAGTCACGTAGATAAAAATAAATGATAATAAATTTAAATACAAATTCAAAATAAAAAATTGAAAATAATAAAAGCAAAAAACCCACGACGTTTCGATCGCAGCACAAGCGGTCTTCCCCGGCGTGCTGCTGGAGTCTTCGTCACCGTTCTTCTCGTCGTCTTCACCTTCCTCCTCCTCGTCACCGTCTCGGGGCGCCGCCGCCGCCAGTCAGGCGGCCTACCAACTGTCCTGACTGAGGATCGTCGCCGGCAATAGACGGACTAATTCCTATTAAGCATGTTAACCCCGAGTTAGTCACTACACATGTAACATTTGTAGTGGTATAGCGCTGGCTGCTGGCGGAAAAGGGTAACTGCGGTGTTCACGTCAACAGGCCACGATAGACACGAGAGGGGGACATCGAGGGGACAGGTTCGGAGTGGCCCATCGGGGAGCCCCCGGAACCCGCGAGATGGTTCCAGAAGGGGGGCGTGGCCAAGGCGGAGCCACGCTGGGAGTATAAGAGGGGGCCCTGAGTGGGAGCTCGGGGCTGTTGCTGGAAGTGGGATCGCCGTCGTGCTGTTCAAGTACATCGTCGTCACCTTCTCCTCGTCGTCGTCTCCGTCTTCTCCATCCCGGGGCGCTGTTAGTCAGACAGCCTACCAACCAGAGGTCGCAAACGGGTTTTGATTCCTTACCCGTACCAGGGTCGCAAACGGCTACCCGTACCCGATACCGGGTACGGGTACCCGGGTATCGGGTAGGGTACGGGTATCGGGTACCCGGTTGCGACCTCTGCTACCAACTGTTCCAACTAAGTAGTACCGCCGACAATAGACGGTCGTTGTAATAATGGTGTGCACCCACGTAGTGTGTTGTGTGTTACCCCGATGGTGCTTGTTAATAAAGAAGTGCCTCCAGGCGTACTGTCTCCGATCTGCGTCACTACACGTGTCCCACCTAAGCACAGTACGCGACAGCTATCATTCCCAGGAGGTGTAAAGCGTTTTGTCCCAGAGGAACAGCATGTAGGCTACACAGCCACAAATGATAGCACGTCCGGTGCGAAAGACGTTCAACGTACATACATACACTTTTAATCTTCAATGCCGTATGATGTTACAGTTCTGAGAATGAAACAAAATCTGTTGTAACGAACACATTTGTTTCATACGGAGGCTTTCACGCCCATTTTTGTTTTTTATGAATTGTTATTCAAAATTAGTTTATTTCGGGTTAGACCGTGTCGGAATTATGGTCACTCTCCACCGCCTGACAGAGCCAATCAAATCCAGTTGTCACGTGGGCAACTATGCCAATTGAGTTGGTTTATCAGCAAAACCCGTCGGAGGAATGTAAAAAATATAAACTGTACAACGAAACAATGATGTGCATAATGTGAGGTGTAATCTCCAGTGAAATTTCGTGTAAAAAATGAATAATAATGAAATCTTTTTTGCTTGGACTTTTCAACACTCCTCCAATGTTGCCGATGAACCAAATTAATTTGGGCGCATTTGTCCCACGTGACAACTGGATTTCATTGGCTTTGTCGGGTGGTGATCATTTATTGTGGAAGCGTTTGCATTATACCCATGTAGTGTAATAGCGCCGGCGGCTGTCCAGCAGCGACAACTGCGGTGGACAAACAGCGCACACGCCGGTGAGCAGATACACGGCTGTGTGTGTCGGCAGGGCGGAGGAACTGGGGCAAGGGTCATGGAAGACCCCATCTGGAAGCCCCTGGAACCCGCTAGTGGGTTGGAGAAGGGAGGCGCGGCCAGGGCGGAGCCAGGCCGTGCCGGGGAGCATAAAAGCAGCGGAGAGCGGGGAGCTCGGGGCTGCCGCTTCTGGGAGTGGACTCGTCTCTTCATGGTTCTTTCGGTAAAGTCACGTAGAAGGGAAATAATAAAACAATAAAAATAAAACATAATAAAATACAATTCTCACGACGTTTCGGCCACAACGCAAGCAGCCGTCCTCAGGTGAAGAACAGGTCTGTCGGAAAGACAGCGTCTGAATGGACTCATCTCGTCGGCACCGTCGTCTTCGCCGATACGATGTTCATATTCTTCGCTGCCTTCGTCGCTGACGCCTTCGCTAGATCATTGTGCTGCCGGACAGTAGTTGGCTGTCTCGGTCATCGCCATCAGTGTTGCATGGTGAGGGTTGTGCTTAGGCTCGGCAGGACGACCCAGGTGAGTGTAGGGGCGAACCTGTGAAGTGTGAAGGTGTCAATAAAGAAGGTGCCTCCTGGACACACTCGTCACCGATTACGTGACACTTCACCACAGGCTACTGTACAGGGAGGTCCAGATGCCTTGTGACCCCCACTGAATTATTGTAACCGTAGTATTTGTTGCATACTCAGTGGGAGTGAACGCAGGAATTAATAAGCAAAGGGGTCAAGTTTATTGGGGGCCACAAGACATCTGGACCACGCTGCTGCACGTTGTGAATAGGGTGAGTGGGGTGAATGGGGTGAGCGGGGTGAGTGGGGAGTGTGGGGTCAGTGGGGTGAGTGGGGTGAGTGGGGTCAGCGGGGTGAGCGGGGTGAGCGGCGGGGTGAGCGGCGGGGTGAGCTGCGGGGTGAGCTGCGGGGTGAGCGGGGTGAGTGGGGTGAGTGAGTGGGGTCAGCGCTACAGAGTGTTCGGACCGAATACATCAGCAGCATCATCATCATCAGCAGCGTCGTGGGAGTGTACATGTGTATTTATATAATTCACAAAATGTACACATTCAAAAAAACTGCGTGAATTGAAAACGAATTTCTCCAAGATTGAAAACGAATTTCTTTAGAGCAGCATTTTGTGTTTCCTCTGTTTCTCCTTCAACCTACGAGCTCATTAAGTTGTAGTTCAGGGCAAATCACGAATGTGTCCCCATCCAAGTTGGCGACATCCCGGGACCTCGGAGGTCGGCTGGTCCCAGTCCCTCGACGACATCACGATACGATGTTCATATTCATACCTTCATATCGTAATGTCGCCAAATCGTGGCGATATCTTTTATTTATATCGCCACGATATATAAGATACCGCTAGGATCTTCGATATCGTAACAATAGCGATTCTAAGTAATAGATATCGCTACAATATCGTAGCAATCGTCTATATCGTGGCCATATCGTGGTGATATCGCGATATCGCCATATCGTGGTGATATCGCGATATCGCCATATCGTGGCGACACGCCCCACCCCCTCGTGACGTCACGTCGCAAGGGCGCGAGCGGCCAATGGGCGCGCAGTGGCGCGGCGCGCGTGAGGCCGGGGGGCCGCGACTCAACGATTCTCGATTCAAAGTAGTCGACAATAGATTCTCCAATCTTCTTCTTTGACTTGCATCGCTACATCAGATTGTGCGCGGTATTTGACGCGCGTGGGCAGCAACCTCTTGCGGGGGGGGGGGGGGTCCCAGGTGTCGAATGATTGGGGGGAATAGCGGAGAGCGCACGACACGGTGCTACGTAGACAAACGGAATCGAATCGAATCGTGACATCGGTGTGGATCGTGGACGTTGAATCGCGGGTCAGGGACTCGCGAACTCGCTTGGTGTGGAACGGTGGCAGGTGCTGCAGAACTACAACATGTGTGTTGTGTGTTAGAACATGCGTGTTGCGTGTTAGAACATGCGTGTTGTGTGTTAGAACATGCGTGTTGTGTGTTGTATGTTAGAACATGTGTGTTGTGTGTTAGAACATGCGTGTTGTGTGTTAGAATATGCGTGTTGTATGTTAGTGTTAGAACATGTGTGTTGTGTGTTAGAACATGCGTGTTGTGTGTTAGAACATGCGCGTTGTGTGTTAGTGTTAGAACACGCGTGTTGTATGTTGTGTGTTAGTGTTAGAACACGCGTGTTGTGTGTTAGAACACGCGTGTTGTGTGTTAGTGTTAGAACATGCGTGTTAGTGTTAGAACATGCGTGTTGTGTGTTAGAACATGCGTGTTGTATGTTAGTGTTAGAACATGTGTGTTGTGTGTTAGAACATGCGTGTTGTGTGTTAGAACACGCGTGTTGTATGTTAGTGTTAGAACATGCGTGTTGTGTGTTGTGTGTTAGAACATGTGTGTTGTGTGTTAGAACATGCGTCTTGTGTATTAAAACATGCGTGTTGTGTGTTGTATGTTAGAACATGTGTGTTGTGTGTTAGAACATGCGTGTTGTGTGTTAGAACATGCGTGTTGTATGTTAGTGTTAGAACATGTGTGTTGTGTGTTAGAACATGCGTGTTGTGTGTTAGAACACGCGCGTTGTGTGTTAGTGTTAGAACACGCGTGTTGTATGTTGTGTGTTAGTGTTAGAACACGCGTGTTGTGTGTTAGAACACGCGTGTTGTGTGTTAGTGGTAGAACATGCGTGTTAGTGTTAGAACATGCGTGTTGTGTGTTAGAACATGCGTGTTGTATGTTAGTGTTAGAACATGTGTGTTGTGTGTTAGAACATGCGTGTTGTGTGTTAGAACACGCGTGTTGTATGTTAGTGTTAGAACATGCGTGTTGTGTGTTAGAATACACGTGTTAGTGTTAACACACGTGTTAGTGTTAGAACACGCGTGTTGTGTGTTAGCGTTAGAACATGCGTGTTGTGTGTTAGAACATGCGTGTTGTGTGTTAGAACATGCGTTTTGTATGTTAGTATTAGATCAT